CTTTTCACTGTTTTATAATATTATTTATTTTTTTGCTGAGGAAGATTCACCCTGAGCTAACATCTGTGCCAATCTTCCTCTATTTTTTAGTATGTGGGCCACCAGCACACCATGGCTGCTAACAGAGAGGTATAGGTTCATGCCTGGGAACTGAATCCAGGCCGCAGAAGTAGAATGCATTGAACTTAACCACTAGGCCACTGGGGTTGGCCTTATTTTATTTTTTAATTGTCTCTCTTCTCTCCTGCATTAAAATCTCCATGAGAACAAACATTTATATCTTCTACACTAGTTTAACCATATCAAATTGCAGACTGCCTGAGTCATAGTAGTAAATTATTAAATTAGTTTTTATTGTATTATGCTTTTTTATCCAAGAGTTGAGTCATATTCAAGAAAACTCTTCCCACTCCCTCCCAATAAATGAAAAGCCATATTCTTCAGAAAAGAATATTTATGCCAGTTTCCTATAGATTATACCATTTTTAGTTTATACATTGTCTTTGATAGGGTTAGGGAGTACATTTTATATAATCATTTTAAGTTTTCTACTTCTTTTTGATCTCCAGATAGGTATGTGCACATAGATACATTCTTATGAAAGCAGTCCTCAAATTCATGAACTTCTGCTCCAAATTCTTCTTTCTTCTAAATTCTCTCCACACATGAATTGGATCTTCTATGTTATTATAGAGAAAAAAATAATCTTATTATCTCTGTATATTTCTCTCACATTTTCCCACATTTAATCTTCATTAATTTTATTCACATATTTCCTAAATATGTGCTAAATGGATTCATTTATCTATATCTCTATAGTCCCTTCACTAATTCAAGATTTTATTATCTCCCTATTTATCTATTACAATAGCTGAGTTTTCATCATGTAACGTTACCCTATGCCCCAACTATTGTTTACACTACTGTATAAACTTTGTAAAAAAAATATGATCAAGTTGAAACTTTAGTTGGAATTCTTGCAATACAATCCATGTTTGCTAAATTTAACGTAATGCATATGATATGCAAGACTCTCCATGGCCTGACCTCTCTATCTTTCTTCCATACCCCAGTCTTACAAAACAATTTTCAGTACTCTGAATAGTGTATGTTAGTTCAAAAATGTTTTTGACTTCTTGCTTCATGTACCTAATATGCACTTTTCATCCCTCATTGAGAAAATTTTTGCTCATCTTTAATAACTAGATTAATGATGACCTCTTATATTATGCCTTCTGTAACATCCAAAATTTCAGTGAATCCAACTTCTTTGTTGGCACAATGACCACTAAGCATAGTTTTATTATGACATCTTGTCGGTTATCCAGCTTGGTCAGTTTTGATTAATTTTTTCCTCCTTATTATAGGCTATATTTTCGTTTCATGTGTGTCTGGTACATTTTTTTCTTTTTTTTTTTTTTTTTTTGGCTCAGGAAGATTCACCCTGAGCTAACATCTGTTGCCAATCTTCCTCTTTTGGCTTGAGGAAGATTCACCATGAGCTAACGTCTGTGCTATTGTTCCTCTATTTTGTATGTGGGTTGCTGGCACAGCATGGCTACCAACGAGTGGTGTAGGTCCACACTCGAGAACTGAACCTGGGTCACCAAAGTGGAGTGCTCTGAATTTAACCTGTAGGCCTTGGGTCTTGCCCCTGTCTGGTATTTTTTATTGAATGCCAAACATTATAAATCTGGCTACTGTATACTTTTGTATTCCTATAAATATTTCAGGGCTTTGCTCTGGGATACAGTTGAGTTACTTGATAAATATAAAGTCTAGGTTAGAGATTAAAAAGCCTTAACTCTTGCAATAGCATCAGCAATAAAGAATAATTTGGTAAGAAATGGGATGTGGAAGATGATATAAAGGTAGTTTAATGATGACTTGAAGGATGTGCAGTCTTTTTTACTCAAACTATTTCCTTGTATATGTATTTACTAATGGTACAAGGGGGAGCTGGATTCTTAAACAGAGGTATATACTTGCAGAACTGATACTTAAGCATGCACACATGCAGCAACAAGAAATAGTAAATCATTTCAACATGTTTTGGCCTCTGAATCATATGGATGGACTTGAGGCATATTTCATTAGAAAAAAGCTGTATAATGCAAAGGAAAATTCTCAGCTAAAGTCCAGTATGAAGATGAAATTTTAAGGCACATTTTCTCTGCCATGCTGTCTGAAATCATCCAGTCCAATGTGAAAAAAGGGTGTTTCACATTTGACTCATTATTTACTCCATAACAATATCTAAAACAAGGGAATGAAAAATATTGTTATATACATTTACAGTACTCATCCATCTTCCATTTTGCATAAATTAATTTCTCCACATAAAATTTATAGAAAATAAAGAGTAACAGTGAGGTAATGAAATGCATCGGCCATACTGAATATAAAGAATTCCCATTTGGGAGCATAGTGTCATGGTGTGTATGTGTGTGGGTGAGTGAGAGAGAGAGAGAGAGAGAGAATGACCTAAGAAAAATAACATAAAAAAATAATAACAAAATGAAATACTCTCCAGTTCAAGGCAAGGGGCTTAAAAAATGGAAACTCTACTAACTGCTGATTGCTGACTTATTTCAAAAAGATGTGTGCGGGGCCGGCACCGTGGCTTAGCGGTTAAGTGCGTGCTCTCCGCTGCCGGCGGCCCGGGTTCGGATCCCGGGTGCGCACCGAGGCACCACTCCTCCAGCCATGCTGAGGCCGCATCCCACATACAGCAACTAGAAGGATGTGCAGCTATGACAGACAACTATGTACTGGGGCTTTGGGGGAAAAATAAATAAATAAAATCTTAAAAAAAAAAAAAAAAAAAAAGATGTGTGCGATATTATGTCCTAACAGATTATCAGTGTAACCTTGACTACTGTGAAATAGTTAATTATTGTATTACTGTAGTATGAGGTGAGGACAGCATTAGCCTACAGTAAGCAGAGCATTTCAATGCCCTGGAAAAATACTGAATTGGCTAATAGAAGACGAAGTGATCGTAATTAATTAATAGAATCAATATGTTAATATTTCAATTAATATTACCTTGCCACTGTCACCCTTCCTCCAGAATATTTCTATCATACTCTATTACGTGTATTTCCCCCAAGTAAAATATTCTGTCTCATTGAATGATTCTTTTCATAGATAAATAGAAATTTATAAGAACAAGATAATTTTTCCCCTTGGGTTGGCTAATGCTGGTTTCATTCCTGTTTTCTAGAAGATGACTGTTAACTGCTTTGTCCCTACAGATTTTGAATTTGATTATTCCACATTTCTTTAAAAAAGAAAACAAAATAGAAATACATATATTCCACATTGACCTCTACACATTTCACAATGTGCTAAAGCTACAAATTTTGGCAATTTTCTTCTTAGACCTCAGATTTCACAGGCATGAAATACGGAGTAGAGTTAAGAATGTAACATTTGAAGGACTATAGATATGAGTTTAAGTCCTAGTTCTACAACTAGCAGCTTTCTTGGGTACTGTATTACTCAGGCAGACACAGGTTGATAATCAAAAGAGTGTGTCTTTGAACAGGACAATTGTTTGCTGGAATCAGGGAATTCATAATATGTTTAATGTTAGTGACCATGAATAAAAAGTAAAATTTGGTTAAAATATTATAATTAAATGAATGGAGTTCAATGACACCTATGTGTTTGCATATCTTTAAATCTAAAATGGGGCCAAAAAAAGGCTGGATTTACTAGAATTTATGTATATTTACATATAATATTTGGTGATTTTTAATCCTGAGTCCATTCATTTTTGATTGGGGATACACTGACAAATTACTTAGTATCTTTTAACTATCTCTTTTCCCTAAAAGTAAAGCTAATAAACTCACCTCCTTTGGTTTAAGAGAGGCTAGTTTTGGTAATGTTACTAAAGTTTGGAGCTTGAGGTAGACATTCAAAACTCAATTTCCTTTCTCCTTTTAAGAATAAAGTATTTTAATGATTTCCCTCACTTGCTTTATAGTTACATTTTAATGTGGAAAAATCACACTTTCCAGGTACAACATATTACCAATGATATCTATCAGTTGACATGTTTATTAATTTGGGCTTTTATCAATCAATATGTATTTATTGTATACAATATTACAGATACTCCATAAGGTACTGAAGATGCAAAGGCAAAGACAACAGAGCTGGTCCCTGATTGTTTAGAAGAGAAGGGTCATTAAACAGTAGTTATGCTAGCAGGTAAGAGTTGTGATTATCAAGTGCAATTATCTAAGCCCATGAATATTTATTTATTTATTAAAGAAAACAATTGGAATTTACTGTGCGGCTGAATAGGGTATATACCAGAGATTTAGAATAAAGCAACACAGTGCCTTCTCACAACAATTCTTAATTAATTGAGGAAGACAGACATGAAGATTTAAGTAAAACTATCTTGTGAGTATTATAATAAAATTATTTATGGGGTAGATTGAGGGAAAAAGGAACGTGTCACTTCTACTAAAACGTTGGAAACTTCATAATAGAGGAAATTGTGTCTAAGATTGGTGTTGAGATTTGAAGCCAAGCATTTGGTAAAGCTTGGAGTCATATAAAGGCAGGAACATATGTGTAAATGGGTATTGAATTATCCAGTTTGAAGAAAAGTGGCATTGTTTAGTCAGAGTTGAGGCTGGAGAGAAAGGCAGGGATAAGAAAACAGAAAAATTTCTAAAATAGGTTAATAACTTGACCTTTATCCTATAGTTATTTGTAAACCACTTAATTATGTAATCTTAAATATTTAAATAGAAGAGAGACATGAAAAAAATTATTTCAGTAAGATCCCTCATTCAACACTGTGAATAATGAATTAGATAAGACAAGAACTAAAATAATACCATCTTCTTGGCAGAAGAGAATAAAATGCCTCAACTCTCACAAAACTGACATATCGAATTGAAGACATATTCCCTAGAGGGAAATAGATGAAAGGGGAAGTAGGAGTCAGGGTGTCTTTTTCACGAAGCCACACTTGACTACTTGAGAAAGTTTCTCCTGCCCTTGAATACCTTGTGCACTGCAGACCTTATCTGTTTGGTTTTTAGGCTATAAACCAAGGGATTAAGCACTGGGGTTAAGAAGAGGAAGAGATTGGCCATGGTGACGTGGAGAAGAGGAGATGTGAATGTACCGAACCTATGAATTAGAGCCAGCACAGTGAGTGGCACATAAAAGATGCAGATGGTGAAAATGTGGGAAGCACAAGCATTAAGCGCCTTGAGCTGACCATCTTCTGAGGCAATACCCAGCACTGTTTTCAAAATAAGGATGTAAGAAATGGCAATGAACATAGCATCAACTCCAAAGGAGCAGAGAACAATGGACAACCCATAGATGCTGTTGACTGTGACAGAGCCACAGGCCAGTTTCATAACATCAGGGTGGTAGCAGTAACAATGCGATAGAATAACATCTTTGCAGAAGGATAATCACTGAAGCAGGACTGGCAAGGGTACTATCAACACCACGCCCCTAACCACGGCTGCAATCCCCATCCCAATAATCCAAGGAGGGGTTAAAACCACAGTGTAGAGCAGTGGGTTGCGGATAACTACAAATCGGTCAAAGGCCATGGCCAACAGGATGGCTGACTCCATGGAGGAGAAGGTATGGATGAAGAACATCTGTGTCAGGCAAGAGTGGAACTCAAGCTCTCTGTGATTCAGGAGGAAGACTTTGAGTACTGTAGGTAGAGTTAATAAAGACAGACCCATATCTGTGCCTGCCAGCATAGACAGGAAGATGTACTGAGGCTCATGATGGCTGGAAGTGCTTTTAATAACAAAGAGGATAGTGCAGTTACCTAAGAGGGCAATTAGATACATGATGCACAGTGGAACAGAGATCCATATTTGTACAGCCTCCAGTCCAGGAATGCCTGTTAGAAGGAGAGTGGGTGGCTGGAGCCAGCTACCGTTTATAAACCCCGTAGAGATGTTTCTTGGGATCCAGTCCAGATCAGCTTCTAAATGCTCCTATTGGCAGAAAAATATAGATTTTAAGATAGGAGAATATAATGCGTCTAACTCCTCTGGGGCAGCACCAATCCTAGGCATCTTTACATCAAGGAATTGATCCTTAGAACATTTCCAAATTTATCTGAATAACTATCTGGAGTTAGGGCAATGGATAACTGCTATTAAAATGTAAGAGCTACTAGAGGTCTTTTGGCCTAGAACATTCCAATCATTGATCAAGTAACAAAAAAAATTAAGCACATAATTTTCTTTTTTATCCTAATGCTTAGAAAAATTTCATTCTCAGATCTCTTTCTATTTCACGATTTATTTCATCACGTTTGCGTCTTCTTTTATTTCTAATAACCTTAGCCAAAACTCTGAAAGAAGTTCTTGCACTTTCTCCGCATCAACATCGTACCTATAAATATTCAGGCATCTGGAAACCTGGGTATTTTCCCTGTTATTTACACCTGCTGAAATAAAGTGTAAGATATTTCAATAACCCACATACACCCCAAGTCATTTTAAAAAATCTTCATATGATACCATCATTTTTACAATTAATTTCTATGTTGTTTGATGTTTTCTTTTTAAATGATATGTTGATTTTTCAAAATATGAGAGATTAAACATTAAAGCAAGTATTGTCACATCTTAGCTGGTACTAGAATAGAATCAAACATTAACAAACAATTTCTTACATAAAATTTGAAATATCTCTATTTCAAAACACAAATATAATGTCTTAGGAAATAATACATACCAATACTTCAGTAAATAAAAATGGCATAATTGGAGGAAATGGTGTTAGCACTTATATCTTTGTCCTACAAACAAAGGTAGGAAGAGATTATATTTGATTTGTTGAATACAATTAGATTTAAGTGTTTTGTTTAAAATTGCAAGCAGAAACAAGATAGTGATGCCACTACATTTGGATATGTGGGAAGGGGTAGGAGGGGAGATAATATAACTGACCTAAACTCTTATTTGGAAAAGCATGAAATCAAAACACAATGTCTTTTGTAAAATCATATTATTCAAAAGTATGACCAAAAATAAAAACACCAGAAGAAAAATTAAACAGAAATTAATGAAGGATTCCTGATCAGGAAAAAGGTTATAGACAGGGAGGATTGGAACAAGATACTATTCTTTTTTGCCCTCAACCAAAATTAGAACTACTGTGCTGTTTTAAAATCAGGTAAGTGTAAATAAACAAAATTATCTTTTTATAAATATAAGTATATCTTTGAAGAGCGGATTCTAGATAAATCACAATGTATACATTTTCATCCATTGATGTAAAGACTAACACTTGTTCAGTTGTCCATTTACATACCCTTGGCAGTGAATGTCTACTATATACTACTACATTCTTTCATAGTATGCCTAGTAAAGAGTTTTCTACCAAGCATGTCCTTTTAGTTAAGGGACTGAGTCAGCTCCTCATGAGGGGTCCCTAATAAGGAAGTTGACTTCTTAGGGACTTAGAATATTAAGTTCTGTATAATTTTTTCAGCTGTGCATGTGGAGTATCAGAGTCACTCATGTTGAAAAAAAAAGAAGAAAGTCATGATTCATAATAGACTGCAGCATCCAAACATACCACAGACACTACCCACACTCACAGTCACTCAACACACTGCATTCCACGACACTAAGAAGTGAGACTCTTATAAACACAAAATTCGTGAGGAAGACATTGAATACTGTCCACAACACACTATGCACCTCATTTAAACATACACAAATTCATATACCACAGGTTCATATATACACATATAGCCAGCATTCCTCCCTTTGCTTCAACTATCTTCCATAATCTCTTGGAATTCAATCTCCTTTCCTTTATACTCGTCTTTCCCTTCTGTTTTTGGCACTGACTCAATGAGTACTGGATTTCAATTTATTTGTGGTGGATTACCCATCCTAGCCAGAAAGATATTTCATAGACTATTCCTGGAGATCCAAAATAAATTTACTTCTCCTAGTAAGTATGTCCCACTTTCAACCTCCTAAAAAATCCTTTTAAGACACATGATCTCTCCAGTCTTCCCCGGAGCCCAAAACAAAAGCTTGGTCTCTGACTTATGTACTATGAATCCCCATCAATTAACCTTGAACTCCATAATACTTTTCTTGGTTCCTCAAGTAGGTGTCTGTACTCACAGCTTTTCCCAACTCTCCTTTTTATTCCTTTTCTAAGGACACTGAACTTCCATGACTTTCATTCCGAATCTATGGAAATCTTCGGTTAAGCAGCTCCTAAAGATGAAGCTGCATCTCTGTTCTTTTAAAGAAAATAAATTCAACAGTCATTTTTATGTGTTGTGCAAACTTCTCACCATGAAACCAGAAACGTTCAGTACAGATTGACAAGAAGTTCAGCTGCACAATTCTGTTTTAGTCTCAGTCTCCTTGGCACAGAAAGAGAGTGGACGGTTTCTTATGAGATGTTAGAAACCTGTCGTAGATGTATCTGCCTGGCACCAGAGTTATTTATTGTAACAAATAGAGAATCTTAGATGGAAAGTGCCAGAGGGAGATTATCAAAATATTCTCATGAGATAGTGGTTTCAATATTCTACACACTACACCTCTCAAAACAAATTACTTGGAAGCAGGCCATGCCAAACTTGCTTTTCTCAATACTCCAGAGTCCTTATAATTAATCCTACATTCAAGCATGAAGACAGTTCTACCTTGACTATTCGCCATAAACATGATAAGCTCTTCTTTAGAAGTGATTTTTCCCGATGAGTGAGTCTTAAGTGTCCAGACTTAGTTTGGATCATTTTTTAGGCAAGTCATTTTGAAATGTAATTCTCTACTTTCTTTTTGAGAATCTGAGAATTGGAAACTATTTCTTTCTTTACCATTGTTATGAGTGTCCATTACTATATTGTTTCACAACATGTAATGCTGATAGTTTTTTGAGAGATATAGCATCACTTATGCTAGTCTGAGGTAGAGTGGCCTTATTATAATTTTAGTTTTATCTTCCTTTTCTTCCTGTAGAGCTGTTAGTTGTAAGTCATTTGCTTTCCTTTTAAGATTTTATTATGTCTTTCCTGTGATTATAACATTTCTTCTCCGCTAAAAATTTTGAATTTATTTCATACTTTATCCAAAATGCCTAGGATGATACTTAATATTTAGAACACATTCAACATATAGTTGATCATTGGTGACAGGAACTTCTGCTTTTGGACAAAATGGATTAAGAGGGATTGAATTTACCTTTCAGTCTAACACAACCAAAGTAGTTAGACAACTGTATGAAACAACAATTTTCAAGACAATCAATATCTGGCAACAAAGGACTGTAATCCCTGAAAGACAGGGAAACATACACAATAAACCTTGCAATTGCCCCAGGTCACTACTTTGAGATAGTTTCCAGGCCACCGTAAAGCTAGCAGAAACCCAGACAGAACCTGTGAACTCCCTGAGTTGAGGAACCGTTGTTGAGAACCCAAGGAAACCAAGGTGTTTAGAGTTCATGAGACAGAGTACTGGAGAAAAAAGAACTACACAAAGAGAGAGCCTTGGAGATCCGCAGAGGGCCCGCTAAAATATTCATCAGAGTACTGATTGGTGCATGTGTGTAAGGACATCATCTGAGGCTAAAGAAACAACCATCCAAAAGAATGAGAGGAAACAGGTCCAGTGCTCACACATGGCCTGAATAAATGCCTGTTCCCAGACAGATTGGAGTAACTTGTAGTTCACAGGGCGTTGGGTATGTTACTTAGTGGGAAGTAATTAGTAATTAGTCCTAGGCTAAATGCTCTCTGGTCACATCGAATAAATTTTTAAAGCAAGTCCTTAAGGATCAAACTGTTTCCAGGTAATTTAGATATAATATGAGAACAAAGCTTAAGGATATTGACAGGTATGTAAATAATTGTACTTAGGAATAATTTACATTAAATATAAATTATATTTATACTCAACAAGGTAAAATTCATAATGTCTACCATCTAATCAAAAATATGAAAGCAAAGAAGCAGGAAAATATGATCCATAGTGAAGAGAAAAGTCAATCAATAGAAACTGACCCAGAACTGACATAGATTTTAGAAATAGCAGACAAGGACATTAAAACAGTTGTTATAAGTGTGTTCCATAGGTGAAAAAATTAAATAGAGACGTGGAAGTAATGTTGAGTCTGAAATATACATATGAAGACAAATAGAGAGATACATTTGGTAACTTTATTTGTATTTAGCTTAGGAAAGAGACTTCAATTGGAAGTATAGATATGGGAGTCATCATGTATCAAGCTCATTCAGAGTGAGAGTAATATATCAAACAAAGAAAAGTTTATGAAAAAGTAGAAAGTGTTATCTTGAATGAATATGTATATCTGTGATTATATCTATATATATGTATATTCTAATCTGTGTATGTATATGTGTATATAGTAAAGGAGACAATAAAGGAAGAATCAATACAGAGTAGAGAGAGTAGCATGCCAAGTTAGCATGGCTGTGGCACATTTACCAGAGATATATAAGACTTAATTCCATATCATTTCTGGAATTAAATTTTATCCACCATTAACACAGAAGTGGTAGCTTATAAATGGTTGAAATTGCATTAGAGAAAAGGGGATCACTCAAATATGGACTATAGTGAAGGGAATGATGTTAGAACAAAGAGAAATGCCTACATTTAAGAGACATGGCAAAGAAGAAAATGCCTTAGAAATTTTAAGAAAAAGATCCCAGATTGTTGAAAGAACAATAATATTTAGTGTCACTGAAAGAGATTTTCAAGGTGGGTTAGATTAAGAGGGCAAATAGAATAAGGAAATAATGCAAGACAGATTTTATAACACAGAAAGCAATTTTATGAAGAACATTAATTCTAAAATAAAAGCAAAATATTTCTGAGGATTAAGACATTCTGAGTATTCTGTTGTGAAGTGAAATGAATGTTTAAAAAGTTTAACCAATACAAGAAATGAAACGGAAGAGATGGTCATAAGATACTATAAAGAACAATATATCAGCATATATTTGAAATAAACAAATTTTTCATAAAACAAGAGATGAAAAGGTAAAAAACACACAAAGGAAAGATTGATTTTATAATGAATATTTTATTTTTTCAAAATGTAATAAAATAATATGTAAGTATTCTATTTTCCATTACCATTTTATTCTGTTTTATTACCAGTATATACCATTATTTTTTCAATTAAAATTTGAACCAGATTTGGACAGTGGAATTCCCTCATTGGCTTCCCCATAGTTTGACATATGCCCCTCATTATTTGTACACCCCCTTGCTTTTTGTCACAACAAGATAATCCATGTAATCTTGTACTTCCCCTAAACTAGCCCTAAAATCAGCTATTTATTTAGAAAGCCCTGGCTGTTTTTAGACAAGATTAGAATTTATAAGCTAAATCTGAGTGCTAAATGGTTCATTGCTGTTGAAGTGTAACCCTTCCCAGACTGTCTCACTGGATAGAGCTAGGAAATATAGATATATGACAGGTAGATAGGTAGATAGATCTAGATTACATAGACAGATCTAGATAAGATAGATAGATGATAGCTAGCTGCTAGCTAGCCAGCTAGATGATAATAGATATAGATATAGATTAGATAGACTATAGATATAGATAGATATAAATAGATTGATAGATATAGATAGATAAATGATAGATAATAGATACACATCCACACAGATTTAAATCTCTATTACTTTTTATATCTATCTACTCACATTGAAGATCATGAGCACACACAGATGCAACCTTGTCTAATCCAATAC